GGCGGAGATGAATCACCCATCAGCGTTCTTCTGTAAACCATCAATCACCCCTGACTTCTCACTACAGACACCGGCGCCCCGCCCCGTATACACACACTTACACACATTAGCGGCTGCGAAATCTCACAGTGGATGAGTTCTGCTGACGAATCAGCTGAAACTCCGAGAGAACTCCGCCCCCACCCTCCTCTTCATTCCCGCTCCTCTCTATCAGCCGTACTCTTTTATCCCTTTTCTTTTCTCTCACCCCCACATTTCACTTTTACTGTCATTTCAGTCTCAGCCTTCTGCTTTGTCACCTGCTCCTCCTCCCTCACCTTTTTTTTCTTCCTTGTTTCTCTACATTTCAGCTTCCTCCCAGTCACAGAGTTCATCTCCACCCCGTAGTTCTTTGTGCCACAGCGGTAGATCAGTCTCCTGTGTCTCACTGGCCATCTCGCTGCCCAGCACAACAGAAAAGGCAAATCACTGCTGACATTTTAAAAGGCACTGGATCAAATGGCTCACTGTGGGCCGGGCTTGAAGGAGGCACCATTTGTTCAATGACTTCTACATCCCAGAAGACATTATCATTTGTCTCTGCTCTGCCTGGCTAAGAGGACAGGTTAAATCATAGTGACAAGTAAAAGCCACAACCATAAGTCTAATCAGCCTGCTAATGCTTGGGATTGTGTAATGATTCATCTCCACCGTCTTTGTGTGATTCTGTCAATGACTTGTGAGTTTAATGTGTATTTGCTGACAACGCTAATGGCAACTTTTCAACCCCTTTGGAAGTTGCCACATTTTGTTACCTTACGCATCAATCTCAAAACAGATAGCTTATTTTTGTAGCATAAATTTACACTTCACAATGTCAAATCAGAAACAAATTATTAAATTATTTTGCTAATTTTCTAAAAAAGGAGAGAATTTCATAATTATTCAGATTGTTTGTATGGCACTCTAATCTGAGCTCTTGCCTGTCCCACTTCAATCAGTGGCCCTTAAGATGCTTTGTGCAGCTTGTCTGCAGTCCTCTTATGCTTTAATGAAATATTGTATGGGGTTCCATTTGTGCCAAAATTATGTTGTTGCGCCTTTGTTCATGTTCTTAAACCTTGTGTTGACACAGAACGTTGGGCTTTTTAATTTTTTTTTTATTTTTTGAAAAAAAAAAAGACATATTTTTTAATATAAGTTCCCACATTTATAGTTGGAAGTGAAAGTCTACAACCTGATTTGGGCTGTTGTGCAATGTTGGAAAAAAAAACGATCAGCAAAAAACTGAACGTAAYGATTTGCACATTTCATAAACATAAAATTTGTCTGATTCTGTTCTGAACATCACCGCATGGCTTAGGAACACTTCCACAAATAATTTTTCGGATTTCTGCAAAGAGGAAGTCATATGTGAACACCATCCAGAAATAACATCATCTTCTGCATAACAAAGCTAATTTAAAATGGACTGAGGCAAAGTTAAAAACTATTCGGTGGCCAGACAAATCAAAATTTGGAATATTTATGAAAACCACAGACTCCATGTCCTCCGTACTAAAGAGGAGAGGGACCACCCAGTCTGTTATCAACTCGTATATGAAAAGCCTGCTTCTCTGATAGTATGAGGGCACATTAGTTCCTCTGTCACATGCATTTTACACATTTGGAAAGGCMCCGTCAATGCAGAAAAGTATCAACAGGTTTTAGAGCAATGCTTACGCTCAGATGAAAAGACCTTTGATATTTCAACAAAACAATGCTCAAATACCTCCATAAAACCAGCATGGAGTRGAGTCCAGGAACTAAACTGACCTGACAAAACATTTGAAACATCATCAAACAAAAAATCCAGCAAAGAAGACCCAGTATTGTTAAACAGCTTAAATCTCGCATGAAAAAAAAAAACGTTTACAGACTGTTGTTAAAAGAAGAAGGGATGCTTCCCAGTGGTAAACATGGACCTGTCTCAACGTTTTTGAGATGTATTGCTTCTATAAAATTCAAAATGAAMTAAATATAGCTCAATTTCTAAGTTTAAACATTTTCATTGTGAATAAAATGTGAGTTYATGTAACTTGCAAATTAYTGCATTATGTTTATATTAACATTTTTACACAGTGCCCCCTTTTTTTCAGAATTGGAGTTGTAGTTGAGTATTAGACCAAGGAGACAACATTGAGTCAAATAATARAAATGGGATCAGATACAAGAACATTTATTCTGCCTTTTGTGTGTCAAAGTTAACTTTGTTTAATGACTTCCTGGATACTGCTGTCCTGCTAAACTGAGTCAGATACAAATAAAT